TCCTTGAACTCCCTGCATTTCCAAAAGGCTCTGCGAAGACTCTTACTTATCTGCAGAAAAACAACCTCTCGTCCAACTACAAGTGTTTTAGGCAAACCATTTTGTGGGACGCAGTCCAACCAAGCACAGGGACTTCCGTGGCAGGTTCATTTATCATCCTGAAATACCACTGCTATCAATGGTAGAGCATTTTCATCAGAGCTTATCGGAACCAAGTCATCGGCCTACTAAAAATGGCTGCAGTAGGAATACTGCTGGGAAGTGTTCTTAGACATCTTCAGTATTTCTTGTTTCCTTTACAGTATTTTGTCTCTCTGTCTTTGTCATTGTCTCTGTCTGTCTATCATTCTCTTGCCCTCTCTCTTTCCAGTTTGACACACCAATACTACTGGAGGAGCAGCTGAGGACTCTGTTGGAGAAGTGTGAGATATCCCAGAGCTGGGGACACGGTCTGGGGACAGGGGACACATCACCCTGGGACAACTCTGATACGGAGAGCCTGCCGGACAGCACCCCTCATCTCTCTGACTCTATCCTGTCAGAACTGCTTAGAGATGCATACACCACCAGCTTTAGCCAGCTGGACAAAGCGACCACTATGTGTTCACCGTAGAGTATTAACACATTTGTTTAGTGGGACAAATATACAAATGTGTATATTTATATGGTTGTATGGTGCTAACAACCAGCCTGCGGTCATGTCACCAGAAGGGCAGCAATATGGATTTCTTCCAGACAGACTCTCCCACACCAACTAACACACAATGACTGTATGAATCACTGAATTGTAAAACTGTGTAGTGTATAATCATAAGAATATAGAGAAATAAACATATTATACAAGTATTTTGATGTTTATCTAGGCTTTATACAATGTCTTAAGATTTCTTAAATAGTGTGATACAGTATGAAAAATCTAAATGAATTAAACCTGTAACTGAGATTTTTTTTCTCAATTGCTTTATTGTGCCTTTTTGCAATGATTGCTCCCCTAGGTCTATATATTCCACTTGAGTATTTCCATTCATTTACACTTTCCGGTAGCTCCAAATGAGGAGTCAGAACAGTAGGAGAGCCCATTGTATTAACCCTGCTAATGTAGATGAGAACAGACCGTTTATGGTCTCATTAAACTTACCAACGGATTTCTTTGACCGCAGAATGTACTAAATGCATAACCATTTAGCTGTGAGCAGTGGGAGTGTGGGCCTGTTGGACAGACAGACCCCCAGGAACCAAACTATATGTATCTGAAGGGACACAGATGTTGCAATCTATCAAATCATTATTGCAGTTATTGGCAGGATAGTATGGTTCAATCAGAGTGATTTGAGGAGCCAGTGATGTCCTCTAGATATGGTCTGCTAACCTTCACTACATAACAATGAGGTCAACTCTGAGGTATAGGGAGCAGTAGCAAGCTGGGGCTGTCTGGATTTGGATTTGGCATGAACTTGCAGTGTTGCCATTGACTGTCAGAGATGTGCCCTGTAAAATGACTGAATCAACAATCTTTAATTCTATTTGTAGACAATATAAATTACAAGCTCAATGTCTCTTCTACAGAAGCCAAAGAGCAAAGACTGTAGGTCTGTGGAATGCCTCAGATAGGTGTGACTCTAAGCTATTTCAGGTTTCATTCACTGGGCAATTGCAATAACTATGCACATTGCTATGTGGGTTACAGTATATTGTTCTAATGGTGGCAGATATTGACATAACTTGAGTTTTGGCTTTGGTGCTAAAGTCCTATGGCTCCTGAGCAATGTTCCCTCAAAATAATGTAGGCACTGAGAACATTTCAGGTCTGCTGAGCGCAAACTTGAACGTTGTGAAAATTCTGTAGAACTTCTGCTGCGCGTTTACTATGAACACCTGCTTTAAGTTAGTTTTAACAGTGGCCAAGTAGGCTACTGTGGCTATTTGATCATAATGTAGGCCTACCAGAGTGGCCTACCATCAAAAACAATGGAGAAAAACACATACCATAACATTTTAACATGGAAATAGCTGTTCTATCATTCAGCTTACAGTAGCAGCCAATGTGTGGTGTTCAATGCCTACATTCCATGAGACTTAACAAAAACAAACATGTAGGGCTTGACATTAACCTGTTTAGGAGGTGACTTAAAATGTTGTGTTTGATTCAATAAACCACTTTACAAAATAAAATGCATTATTATTCCCATACCATTATTACAGTGAATCAGACAAATTATGCTACGCACTGCCTATTGGCTACTTAGCTTATTCAAGACAGTCTCAAAATACAACACTTCCCCTTTAAGACATAAAAAAAGCTCTTTACCTGATTCACTTTTCAAAGATGGCTAGAAATACACACATTTTGTGCTCTTGTTGGAACCAACCACTCCCCCATTGTTGACTAGAAATTAGCTATAACTGGGCTAATAACACTCTAACTAGCAAAGAATATGAACAAATGTGCACACATGGCTACATGCAGCTCTGACTTTGATCTCAAAACAAGCGCATCTACTCCTGACCACTCATACAGTAGCCTAAACACAGTCCAGTTCAAAGTGAATGGCACAGATCCATATATGGCAATGGCTATTTGCATATAGGCCTACTGCAGCTCTGATTGGTTATGGCGCACTGGTCTGTGTAGAGTACGGCCTGAGTCCTGCCTGTCAATGCAATAAAATCCTACTCCAATGCGCTCTGCCTACAAGAACATCTCTTGCACAGTTAGTTTTGCATACTAAATTTTGCATATTTCGTTTTGTTTCGGTATATTACATTGAAAGTGGCTAATATTGCTTTGATTCGATCACAATTCCCACAGTAGAGCGAAACGTTGATAGTGTTAACTAAAGGGGAAAACGTTAAGTTCAATCTCGTGCTTCTCTGCAGGGGCTCATATTTTTTATGTGTGGCAGTGGTAGGGGAGCTGCGCGCACATTGCTCCTGAGATTGTGTTGAATGTGGATAATGTTCTAAAACTGGGCCTTAGTTCATCTTAAATGATCATGTTGTTGACTCTCAAGGATACTCCCTTTCTCAGAGGGCTCCTGGGACTCAAATCATAGATTCCAGCAGAGTTGACAGAATATGGCATCTTTCCCTGTAATGCTATAGTCCTGTAGTTATTAAAGCTGAGAATCCATAAGAAAGCAAAGGACACTCAAACATAATATATTTTTCCTCATGTATTTATTGTTTGGTTGAGATTACAAAATAACTGGCAGGAGTATAAACAGCATTTGGGGAGTAAAACTATGCTACAAATGTTTATAGACAAGTATCACTAACAGTAAAAAAAATATTTTAAAAAATCAGATACAAAACAAAACAATATCCAAAGACATCCTCATATCAGTTTGCAAACAAGTTTATACAAACAGAAACACAGGTCATGTTTCTTGATAAATTATTTAAATAGCATTTATCTACACATATGAAATAACCTCTTAACATAGAACAGACAAACCTAACAATAATTTATCCATTACAAATGCACAGGACATTAATAAGCACACCATATTTATGAAAACGTTTTTATCAATTGCTTTAAGTTGAGGAATTTTCTGCTACAAAAATATCTTACAGCATAAAAATGATTGTTCTACAGTGACACACAAAAAAAGAATCCAACCAAACTCTGCTGCTAAAAAGGTACTATCATGTTTTGTTGGTTTCAATAAAAAAAAGAATGAGGTAATATTTGTACATAAAGGTTTTCCTTTGTTTTTACCATCAGAAATGTACACACATTCTCAAGCACACAAGTCAGACATACTGTGCAAAAAGAACAATGAGATTTAAATGACACCTAATTAGTCTATTTTGGAAGGTTGGAATGAGGGATAATACTGATAATACTGCACACTGTTATGAGAGGACTTTTTAGAGGGATTTATCCCAGTTTCAAGATTCCAATTATTTAGAACAGGTTTCTATGAAAATAAGACAGAGATGATTAAAGACAAGAGATATCCTAACTCTAGGATCATGTGTCAATACGCTCAACTGATAAACAAAATATGTAATAAGTTATATACAACCTTAGTAACCATAGTACTTTCAAGGCAGGTTAGACTGGCCCATTTGGTTTTTGTCCCTCCACTTATGTCTGAGCTAAGATTAGAGAAAACAAAAAATATCTTCCTGGAATTCTGGTGAAATAGCAATTGTGTTGTTGTTGTTCGCTAGTAGTCTATATTGGCTTTTGGTGCTAGTCCTGGTTCTATGCCCCTTCCATATATTATCTAGTGTTCTTTCCTGACAAACCACTTGGCAAGCCTGGTCAAACCCTGAGGACATACTTCATACTGAGCTGAACTTCAAGGGTCTACTAAAAGCCAATTAGTTACCAAATATAACTATTTTTAGACTCAGGGGGAATTTAAAGTTATCTAGAATTTGAAATGGCTAATGCCTTGACTACAATTGGCTTAGGTGCCTTTATCACAAAGCTCTTCATGGGTAACATTCACTCTCTTTGATAGTAACAGTCAATCCATACTGTCCATGGTGCCTCCACAGTTCCTTCAACGGGTTTCTTTGGCCCATCTGTAGAAAATCTACTACTTTCTTCATTAGGAAACAACTCAAGTCCTTTTGAGTCCACAGCAGATCTGAACTAATGCTCGGAAATAAAGAAAATACTCTTCCCTTTGGACCTCCATCCAGAGAGGGATACCAACTAGTTCAGAAGTGCAGAGAAATCTGTCTGGCTCTCTTCCCATGCAGAGTACAGCTAGAGAAACTTCAGAGATTGAGAGAGAGAGACCGATTTCTTCACTGATCAAAGTTATGCTCAACCTGCTGTTAGTTCAGGGATCTAGTCATCCCAGGGCAGTCAGTTGGCCTATGTCCTGAAGTCAGTCTGCCTCAATGCTACGCACTTGCTCTCCATTCCACCAATGTGCGTGTTGCAAAGGAAAGAGTAATAAAGATATGGTCCCAGGTCATACGTTACATTTATATTTGAGCAGGTAGATACATTCTTCTAAAAGCCTCTCTGGTCCGATTTAAGAATCTGGAGGAAAAAGAGAAGGAAAAAAATCTGTTAAATCCCTGTAAGAATTCAGACTCAAAGGGCGTGAGCTAGTATGTATTTTGTTTGCCAAAACATTAATAAAAAGCATCTTACCTCTGCATTCGTATTTGAGGTCTGAGAAGTATGTCATCTCCTGAGAGAAGACATACATGCCTAGTCTTCCACCAGCATAAGTCTTGTCATAGATATTTCCAGAATCAGCCATGATTCTCTTGCCTTCATACATCACAACTCTAAAAGGAGGGAAGATGACATGAGATCATTAGCTCATGAAAGCAGGAGTTTGTGTGGCCTCGGTAAAGGCGGAGGACATTCAGAGCTAAAGGTAATCTGAGCTCACCTGATGAGTCCAGACTTGGGCCTGTGGATCAGGTGCCATCTGTAGGCGGTGTAGTCTTTCCAGCCGATGTTCTTGGGGTCGTGCCACAGAGTACGCACCTAAGAGGAGGAATAACAAAAAGACATGAGAAATGTTTCCTGCCCAGTGGTTTTCTCTCTCACTGCTCTTAGATATGGCCTGTGCTCTTAATGTGGAGTGAAGCTAAGCGTACCTGTCCAGCAGTGTCACCAGTGTGCCAAAGGGCATTCCTCAGATGCTCCCCAGGTCCTGTGGTGGAGTTGACTACTTTGATGGACACTCCGGAGTAGCCCTGAGCTCTAGTCGGGGTGTGGGACCAGTAGGTCTGTGTGATCTGCTTCCACATCACCACATAGAACCTGGAGCTGGACTGGTAGCCAAACACAAAGCCAGCGTAGTCATCATCCCTGTCTGTGTTGATGAAGAACGTTCCACTGAAGTCCACTGCGTTGAACTCATCGAACCCTATAGACAACAAAGAGAGATGGTTAGGACTTTCCTCAATGGACCCATGATCTACAAATGGTAGTTATTTTTGTAGTTGTTTTCCTTAGTTCCAAAGGTGTTATATTATTGTTACAGTACATACCAACAGCGATGCCAGGGTCACAGTTGACAGTCTGCACCAGCTCTTTGCCCTGGTGGCGGACCACCCAGTTGGGGTCGATCTGGGAGGTGCCCTTGGGGTCCAGTGGTACCATCTGGAACCTGCGGAAGTCCGTCTCACTGATGGCAAAGTTCTCAGGGCACACATCGTATATATCAAGTATGTTGTCTTGGTCAAAGTCATCTTTGCAAATATCTCCACGACCATCACCTGACAGGAGGAGGCAGAGAAAAACACTTAGACATTTCTGCATGGAGACAACAGGCTGACCCTATGTTAATCTCTGTGACTCTGCATTTCTGTAGAGCGTACTGTATCTTTCTAGATGAATCGTTCTATAGGTCAGTTGAATGGCACCAATGTTTGATAGAGCTACTGGAGAGTGTGGCTCACCATCAGAGTCCAGCTGGTCAGGGTTGAAGGCCAGCCTGCAGTTGTCCTTGTCGTCAGGGATACCGTCATTGTCGTCATCGTGGTCGCAGGCGTCACCCTTGCCGTCTTTGTCGTGGTCGGCCTGGTTGGCATTGGGGATATAGGGACAGTTGTCCAAGTTGTTCTGGTGACCGTCCTCATCAATGTCCTGGTTGTTGTCGCACTTGTCTCCCACACGATCTGAGTCAGAGTCAATCTGGAGGACAACACAATTAATTTAGTCTTCACAAAAGCACATTCTTACACACTTGTATAAGATAAACTTCTCACTACTTCAATGCTCTCAGACATGATGAATGTATTTCACCACTCATCTCCCTTAATATGAGAGGTGCTATTATTTCCCCTCATCCTTAAATGTACCCCCTTGTCTTCAGGTATGCTAGCAATGTCTCTTCAAACAAGAATCCTGTGTCCTTGCATCTTGGCAAGACTACACACACACACACACACACACACACACACACACACACACACACACACACACACACATTCATATCTCTTCAGAAGGGGGGAATGAATAAGGGGAGGAGGAGTATTGCACTCATTTTTCTCCCAGCTTTCACATTCCTGTCTTTCATTAAAACTGACCACAGATGCAATCTATGGCTACTGTCCTAAGAGGCGGGGGGCCTATGAAAGTTCTACATCCCTCTAAGATATTTGATAAGATTGGGTCTTATGTATTAGAAGATAAAAGCTGCAGTTACCTGGTCTGGGTTGTGCTCAAGAGGGCAGTTGTCGCAGTGGTCTCCCACTCCATCCCCGTCAGTGTCTCTCTGGTCCACATTGTAGACATAGGGGCAGTTATCCCTCTCATTTAGAATACCTGCGAAGTGAACACACACTTACATCAGTCTATGATACCTTTTAACAAGGACTTTGATAATGACTGACAGCACTGAGAGATTTCATTGTCTGATGCTGGAGGAGTGATGATCTCTTACCATCACCGTCGATATCAATAGCACAGGCATCCCCCTCTCTGTTGTTGTCTGTGTCGACTTGGTCAGGGTTGCTCTCATGCACACAGTTATCACAGCGATCACCAACGTCATCTGTGTCCACATCATACTGAGCGGGGTTGTAGACCATTGGGCAGTTGTCCTATTAGTACATTGAACATACAGTATTAGATAGGCTATTGTATTGGAAATGGGAAAAAGTCTTTACAGCTGGCTAGTGTGTAAGTGATTGTGCTGGAATCTGATATTTCACTAAGAAAGCTAGTGTTTGCTTACCACATACATTTTTTTATTTGATTTTTATTTGATTTCTCCCTGGCCTATTTACAGCATGCACACTATGAATTATGGGCATAAAGCCATGCTGTTTTGCACTTTTGGCCACATGCCCGAAATGATATTATTTCTCATATTTCTCCCTGACTCCTCCACTTTCTCTAGCCTAGAAGAGAAATGCCTACTGAGTGCTATGTTTGGTTTCTCTGTGGATAACAAAGTCCTGAGAGAGAGGATGTTTTGATGTCTCACCCTATCATCAGGGATCCCATCGTTGTCATCATCGTGATCGCAAGCGTCACCAAGCCCATCTTTGTCGTGGTCCTCCTGCCCAGAGTTGGGAAGGTTTGGACAGTTGTCCTGCAACAACAAAAGGGTTGGTTAGAGAGCCATAACCACAATAACACAGTGGAGAAGCTAGGAATAGACTGTGTGCAGTGCTGGGGGTGGGATCCTTCCTACTTTCTTGCAGTGGTAGGTGGCGTTCTCCACACACAGGAGGTCTTTGTTGGGCCATCCATCCAGGTCGGTGTCATCTCCACAGATGTGGCCGTTGCCAGCGTAACCAGGTTTGCACTCACAGCGGAACATGGTGTCGCTGAACTGACCCAGGTAGATACAGTTAGCATTCTTGTTGCAATCATGGCTGCCATCTTGGCAGGGGTTACGGGGTGTGCACACCTAGGGGGAAGCAAGAGATATGTAGAGTTAAGATGTGCTTCTGAGCTCCTAGCATCAGAATAAAAACAAATCCTCACATTCTTGTATTTTGTCGTGTTAGTCAAAGCTGTCTCACTTGTTTCTTGGCTGTGGCCTGCTCCACTCCCCTCCCGAAGGGCTGTGGTCCTGAGTAGCGAGGGGGGCAGGTAAGGCAGTTGTAGCCAGGATCAGTGTTCTCACAGCGGTGGACTCCGTTGAGTGTGAAGCACGCATCAGGGACCTCCTTGCACTCGTCGATGTCCTTGCAGTTGATGCCGTCTCCGGTGTAGCCCACTGGGCATGAGCCACACTTCCAGGAACCATTGTCAAAGCTGGTACACTTAGCTCCAGCAAAGCAGGGGTTGGACAGACAGCCATCTGTAGACAGAAGCAAATTGATTTTAAATACTGAACAATATTAGATTTGTACACTGTTAGGTAAAAATAACAAATCCCATCCCTATTAATAAAATGCTTACTGATAGGGCAGTCCTCTTTGCCACACAATTGGGATGTTTTGGTGTCACCCTGACATTCCTTCCCTCTGTACTTGGGGGCGGGGTTGTTACAGAGACGCTGGCGAGTCTGGAGTCCACCTCCACAGGTGACAGAGCAGGTGTCCCACAGAGACCAGGGTCCCCAGCCTCCGTTAACTAAAGTACAGAGAGAGAGAGAGATGAGATACACCTGTATCTCCAGACAGATGGATAGATAGGTACATGTGTTTAGATGCTGCTCTTCTACTTACTTGGACAAGGTGATTTCTGGCAGACCTCTGTCTCTCGGCCCTGTCCTTGGCAGTCTCTGCCTCCCATCTGGGGAGTGGGGGAGTTGCAGAGGCGGATGCGGGTGATGACTCCCTCACCACAGGTCACAGAGCAGGAGGACCAGGGAGACCAGTGGCTCCAGCCACCATCCTGCTTGACTGTAGAGAACAGACACGTAATTATTCATTAATTTGCTATTACAGTACATATGAGAGGGATGTTACTGAGAGAGACTGTAGAGTAGAAATGGTAGGTTTACTTACAACGCTTGTCACATTCCTGAGGGTAGCAGTCGCGGGTCTGCACAGAGGTGCCCTCGCAGTTGCTGTTGATGCGGTCGCAGGAGCGGCCTCGCTGCTGGATACCCCGTCCACAAGACACAGAACAATGGGTCCATTCAGACCAGGGGGACCAGCCATCCTCAGCATAGTCACTCGCTGGGGGCAGAGAGATAATGGGAGAGCTATTACCACCGCAGAGCTCAGCCAGGGGGGCAAAGGATTTGTAAAGAACGGGGCCTATTAGAATCAATTTAGCTTGGAGATTTGAGACCTGGCATTCCAAGGTGTACTCAGGGAATGTGAAGGACTGAGAAATGTTAATGAAATGTCAAATGGATGACATTTGGCAAGTTAAAATACACCTGATAGGCAGGTTGTCGAAAAAGTTCAACTTCTAGCTCAAGTCCACCTCGCAAAAAAGTACTACAATACTATTACAGCCTAGGCTTGGTTTCAACACTAGAAGAGTACTTACGGGTTCCACAACGTGGGCAGCACTCTCCATCAGGCACGGTGGCATTGGCACAGGGCATCAGGAGGCAAGAGATTTTGCGACACACAGTGGCAGAGTTCTGTAGAGAGGATTGGTGGGATTAGTAAAGGGTTTGTCTCCAGAGCAGACTGTCCGGTAACAGCAAGGGAAAATAATCTGGACCATTAACTTTGCATTACGCAAAAGCGGTTGCTGCTTTGCCAGGACTAATTGCAATGTTTGGGAACATTGGGATGGTCTCTGGCTAGGGCAGGGGGATCCCTGCTATGCTACCACCCCAGTTCAGTGCACCTGCACTGGGTTCAGGACAAGCAAGGTGCCGGGGGTCTGGAGGGAAGGATAGTGGCAGTAGGAAAGGCAGAACAGAGGGTCTCAGCAAATGTCCTAATTAAAGACACATTCTTGATACCTAGCCAAATAGATAACTACAATAACCCCACCCCCCACTCCCTACTGCTTTATTGCTATTCTCTCTAACATCTCATTAGTGGTGAGGTGATGGCTAGCAAACGGACACTGCCTGGTCACACATGGGCTTTGGTTAAGTCTATAAACATAAGAGCCCATTAGCACCTTATTACAGAAGGGGTTTAGGAGCTACTGCCTGGTTTTCACATAGTTTACTACTGCCTTGATGACTGGATAACTGCATTCCAACAAGTGTGATGACACCTACCTGGCAGGTACACTCTGTGCAGTCGTCCACGGTCCACTCATCTTTGTCCTTGTGCACAATGCCGTTGTGAAGACAGACCCCACTGTGGATGTTCATCTGGTTCATGAGCAGAGTGCTCTCCTTATTCTGCACACAGGAGGGGAGGTAGAGAGAGGAGCATGGTTTCAGACACGAGGATGGAAACTTTTACATAGCCAAGGTTCCAGTAGAAATGAATCACCTACCAACATTGTGATTAAAACATAGCTTGATTTAACTGAAGCAAATACAAATTAAATGACAGCCAAACATATCTGTGTACTCATATGGGAGTCATTAGGGATTTGGCAGGGGATGCCATTCCGGGGACAAGTGGCTGTGAAGTGGAGAGGTTTTAACTGGGAACAGATAGACTAGAGAGGGAGGGAGACAGGATGATAGTGCGCGGACAAGCTGCTTTCTGTGCTTACCACTCTGTTGAGCTCATTTGACAGCTGCTTAACAACCACACCGATTCCCTTGAGCTCCTTGAACATGCTGGCGATATCCTCACAGGAAAAGCCGCAGACCTGTTGAATATCTGGAGAGGAGAAAAGCAATCAGTTAGTTACCTACCTCCTTCACATTAACAGTTGCACACAGACAAGTATAAGCAAATGACTTTGTCCATGGAGAGTGAAGTCTGGTCTCACCTTTGGTTTTGTGGGCAGTGTAATCAGTCCTTATTGCTGGGCTGGACCCATTTACTGGGTTGTCCAGGGTCATGACATCAGTCAAAGTTGCAGCTGGAGAAGAACAGACACATGAATTTCCATGAACAACATAATAACACTCACTGTGAATTGACTTTAATGACCATAGCAATATAATTACTAGTAATTCTATTTGGTAATGGAATGCATTTAGATTTGGACAATTAACAAGCATTGGATAACATGTACTTACACAGTAATTCCAACATTTAAATGCAAAAATAACGTTTATATTTTGTAATTCACACTTACAGCTTTGGCATCCCTTATTGCGTAAAATCGACTCCAAAGTGGTTCCAAAAACGAAGCGCAAGTTCTGAAGCACTCCCTGCAGATGTACACATTCCATTTAGAGTTATTCCATATTCACACATTTACATCTCTTCAATACATTTCCTAAGGGATCATAATAGCCTATTATAAGTTTTACGTCAAATATTAGGCTACATCCCTGTGAGTGTGACTATCCTCGCGCACAAAACGCTGCGCTGTGCGCGATAGCCTCCGGACAAGTTTAGGCCTACTCAGACTAGGCTATAACTTCAGAAGTGTAACATTTATTTGTATATAATTACAACATTATTTGCAATGTATTTATGACCTCATAAATCAATTCATATTTACCATAAATCTATCTTTCACAGCTCCTTTTCCGATCCTCAGACGGGCAATGTCGGCAACCTCATGCGTCAGGACCTTTTGGATGGGCACATCCATTTCTGATATATTGATCTCTTCACACCCCACGAACAGCTGGGCACGATCCTCCTGAATGAACAGCGTGATATTCTTCCAATGTCCGGTCGCCAGATCCGCATCTTCTATGGACACTACCTGTTGCTTGTTCCCGGTGGAGTATACCACATCCAGAGTTTGCGCCTTGCCATTAGAAATTATTTCGAATAACGGTCCTGATCCGTCATCCTTCTCCACAGTCAAAAGACTGCCCCTGGTTTTCTTGAACTGCTTGAAGTTGACCAGGAGAAGGAATCCCCTCTCAGCTTGTATCGAATCAATGAGGTCCCTGAAGGAGATCTCGGGAACCGGGGGGATCAGGTCTGCGTTCAGGACCTTATAGGCTGGGCTGTAAGGATCTGCGCCTTTTACCAAGGTAACTCCTTGGTGCCTTTTGTTCACTTTCACAAGCTCGAATAGGTCGTATACACTGTTATCATCTCTACTCTCTGTGAAGGGAGAAACTGTAGTGAGTCTCTATGGGCAACTTCGAGTTCACAGATAAACTATTGCCAGAACTTTTAACAGAATAATTTAATTATTGATTTTAATATTTATATATTTAATATAACATTTCCAAAAACTAACCTGCCACCCTGCTGCCCTCACAATTCCAAAGCACCAAAAGGAGAAAGACTCCTGTCAGCTTCATCTTGAAACCTCAGAAATCTGTGTAAACCAGAAGGTAGAAACACAGTTAAATATGTATTGTCATTTAGACACTTTTCAAGATTACAGTCCAATTATAAAAACGTAATAAAAAGCTTATAATACATGTTATTCGAAGAAAATATTATGATTAGAATTTACCGACCTGAATAAAATAAAATAAATAAGTCACAGATGGATAAGTTGAAGAAACTCCTTGATTATCAGAGCTTCGTTGTCCCGTTATTTCTTCTTTAATTCTCAAATGTATTCCCTTTGTTGAATAGTCTTAGAAATCTTAATGTTCGCTGAAAACTCTCTTTCAAGTTCGTTCTGTCTTTATTCCGATGCTCAGACTATTCTACTAACACTGTGGACATAAGTGCTATTTAAATAGTTTCGTGACATTCCTGAGACAACATTTCCTCCAATCAGAGCACGGAAGGAAAAAGGGACGAACTTATTACCTCACGACGCTGAGCGTAATATCCGAGACATACACATGGAAAATAAACTTTCAGAGCCGATTTCCATCAGTGGATAAATATTTTATAGACGGACAGGGGCCAAGTGTGCCAACCCGTCATTTCCTGTAAAAAGTAAGCTACCTTACTTGTGAAATATGCTTCTCTCCTTATTTTCATTGTCACGTTTTAATAACATTTCATATAAAATGGATCAGAATAAACCATGTAGATCCCCTTAAAATAAAATAAAAAAACATGTGGGTGAAGTTGTTAGCCCATATGTTATGAAGGTAATCATATATAAATGGATTTTTTTTTTACTTTAATAAGCTATAATGGCAAAATATATAACATAAATATATGTGAATAGGCCTATGTCTGCTTTTTGAGAGGATGTGTATTGCTGGTCTATTCTTCTTGCCATTCACAGTTCATCCACTGAGAGCCGTTGTGAGTTTAGGCTACACCTTTGAGTTGGTCAGACTTTCCACTAACACATACACTGAGTATACAAAACATTAAGAACACCTGCTCTTTCTATGACAGTATACAGTGCCCTCCGTAATCATTGGGACAGTGAAGACTTCTTTCTTCTTTTGGCTCTATACTCCAAAAGACTTGAAATCAAACAATGACTATGAGGTTAAAGTGCAGACTGTCAGCTTTCATTTGAGGGTATTTTATCCATATCAGGTGAACCGTTTAGAAATTACTGCACTTTTTGTACATAGTCCCCCCCTCCATTTTAGGGGAGCAAAGGTATGGTGCCATATTCATAGCACGCAATGGCTACATCAAGCTTGTGATTATCGTGAATAATGATGAGTGAGAAAGTACAGACACACACATTTCATACCCCCAAGACATGCTATCTTCTCACAATTACAATAACAGGGGAGGTTAGCATTTTGGGGTGGGTATGATATGTGTATCTGTAACTTTCTCACTCATCATTATTCACGATTAATTCAGGATTATCCACAATCATGGTAGCATCCACATTCATATAGAAGTGTTTAGAAACATATTCTATTCTTATTTACAACAAAGGTGACTTTAAAATGACACAATACATGATTTACAAAGAATTTCCATTGGGCACAAAATAATCTGAAACAACCAAAACAAACAGCAAATACAGTCGTGGTCAAAGGTTTTGAGAATGACACACATACTAATTTTCACAAAGTCTGCTGCCTCAGTTTTGATGATGGCAATTTGCATATACTCCAGAATGTCATGAAGAGTGATCAGATGAATTGCAATTAATTGCAAAGTCCCTTTTTGCCATGAAAATGAACTTAATCCCCAAAAAACTTTTCCACTGCATTTCAGCCCTGCCACAAAAGGACCAGCTGCCATCATGTCAGTGATTCTCTCGTTAACACAGGTGAGAGTGTTGATGAGGACAAGGCTGGAGATCACTCTGCTGATTGAGTTAGAATAACAGACTGGAAGCTTTAAAACGAGAGTGGTGCTTGAAATCATTGTTCTTCCTCTGTTAACCATGGTTACCTGCAAGGGAACACGTGCCGTCATCATTGCTTTGCACAAAAAGGGCTTCACAGGCAAGGATATTGCTGCTAGTAAGATTGCACCTAAATCAACCATTTATCGGATCATCAAGAACTTCAAGGAGAGAGGTTCAATTGTTGTGAAGAAGGCGTCAGGGCACCCAAGAAAGTCCAGCAAGCGCCAGGACCGTCTCCTAAAGTTGATTAAGCTGCGGGATTGGGGCACCACCAGTGCAGAGCTTGCTCAGGAATGGCGGCAGGCAGGTGTGAGTGCATCTGCACGCACAGTGAGGCGAATACTTTTGGAGGATGGCCTGGTGTCAAGAAGGGCAGCAAAGAAGCCACTTCTCTCCAGGAAAAACATCAGGGACAGACTGATATTCTGCAAAAGGTACAGGGATTGGACTGCTGAGGACTGGGGTAAAGTCATTTTCTCTGATGAATCCCCTTTCCGATTGTTTGGGGCATCCGGAAAACACCTTGCCAGGGCGGATTGCAGAGGTCTTGAAAAAGAAGGGTCAACCCTGCAAATATTGACTCTTTGCATAAACTTAATGTAATTGTCAATAAAAGCCTTTGACACTTATGGAATGCTTGTAATTATACTTCAGTATAACATAGTAACATCTGACAAAAATATCTCATAACACTGAAGCAGCGAACTTTGTGAAGACCAATACTTGTGTCATTCTCAAAACATTTGACCACGACCTCTCCAAACTTCCATCCAACACATATGTAGGGTCATAAGCTTGATGTAGTCATTGCGTGCTATGAATATGGGACCAAATACTTAACTTTTTACTACTCTCATTTTTAAATGGTTCACCCGATATGGATGAAAATACCGTCAGATTAAAGCTGACAGTCTGCACTTTAACCTCATAGTCATTGTATAATTTTAAATCCAAGTATAGAGCCAAAGAAGAAAAAATGCTTCACTGTCCCAATAATTATGGAGGGAACTGTAGGTAGGAGTAAAGTGACTAGATAATAGACTGAGCTGTAGCAGCATCGTATGTGGAGTAGTAGCAGCAGCATATGTGGTGAGTGTGGAAGTGTGAGTGTGTGTGTGGCGTCAGTATGCATGTTGTGTGTGTGTGGGTGTATGTAGTGTGTGTGCATATGTGTGCGTTGGGGTGTCAGTGTAAGTATGTATGAGTGTGTGGGTAGAGTCCAGTGTGTGTGCATAGAGTCAGTGCAAGAGAGTTAGTAAAAAAAAAAGGGTCAATGCAGGTAGCCATTTGATTAGCTATTTAGCAGCCTTGTTTAGCAATCTTATGGCTTTTGGTTAGAAGCTGTTCAGGGTCATGTTAGTTCCAGACTTGGTGCACTGGTACCACTTGCCGTGTGGTAGCAGAGCGAACAGTCTATGGACTTGGGTGGCTGGAGTCTTAGACCATTTTTTAGGCCTTCCTCTGACAGCGCCTGGTATAGAGTGATGTACTGGGCCGTACTCACCACCCTCTGTAGTGCCTTGCGGTCGGGTGCCTTGCAGTTGCCATACCAAGCGGTGATGCAGCCAGTCAAGATGCTCTCAGTGGTTCAACTGTAGGACTTTTTGAGGATCTGAGGGCCCATGCCAAATCTTTTCAGCCTCCTGAGGGGGAAGAGGTGTTGTCACCCTCTCTTCACAACTGTGTGGGTGATGTGGATACAGAGGAGTCGTGTACGGCCACACAGTTGTGGGTGAACAGGGAGTAAAAGAGGGGACTAAGCACAGACCCCTGAGGGGCTCCGTGTTGATGGTCAGCGTGGCGGATGTGTTGTTGCCTACCCTCACCACCTGGGGGCGGCCCATCAGGAAGTCCAGGATCCAGTTTCAGAGGGAGGTGTTCAGTCCCAGGGTTTTGAGCTTGGTGGGGACTAAGGTGTTGAATGATGAGCTATAGTCAATGAACAGCATTCTTACATAGGTATTGCTTTTGTCCAGGTGGGTGAGAGCAGTGTGGAGTGCAATAGAGATTGCGTCATCTGGTTGACTTCAGGTCAGGCGATGTGAGAAGACATGTTTGAGAGGTCCCAATGAAACTTTAATTGTAACTTTTTTTTCTTACATGCTGCTGTTAGTTCTTATGTGGATGTATCAGTTGGTTATATTATTTTTATCACTTTTCATGGTACCATGAGCAAGACCAACCTGAAGAGAACTTCTACGACTAATACATGGTCGAAGGCCGAACCAACTACTCGAACACAGACAATGGTTGCTGCCTTGTCTATGACCACGCTTGTAGCTGAGTTAGCTAAACAAAGAAGTAGCCTAAAAGAGGATATGTCTTCTCTCATCAGCGCTTCACTGGCACCTCTCCAAACTTCCATTGACGCCTTTCGAGAAACAGTCAACACGTTTGGGCGACGCCTCACTACACTAGAAGGTTTCTCCACTGACAACACCGAGCGGATTGCCGAGCTAGAGGCAGCTGTATCTCATATGAAAACGGCCAACACAGCTCTACTTTCCAAGGTATATTATTTGGAGAATTATACCAGAAGCGAAAACACCCGGATCGTTGGCGTCATGGAGGGAATTGAGACTGGAGTCAACCCTGTGAAATTTGTCTCCAACATGCTGGTGTAAGTGATGGATAACGGTGTCTTTGATAAGCCGCCGGAGCTCGACCGAGCGCATAGATCCCTCGCCCCCAAACCCAACTCAGGGGAACGGCCTATGGCGATCATAGCCCGCTTTCATCATTACCAAGACAAGGAACGTGCAATGCGCTGGGCGAGGGAGCATCAACCAAAATTCCGTGGGTAAGATATACGATTCTACCTGGACCTGAGTGCCAATCTCGTGAAGAAAATAGCTGAATTCAAGGACATCAAAACCTGTCTCTATAATGAGGGGATATAGTTTCAGCTCCTACACCCTGCCCGTCTTCGTGTCTTTTATGAGGGAGAGACCCTAATTTTTGACACACTGGCCGAGGCTAAAGCATTCTATGTCCGGCGCATAGAGTAAAGGAAGCGGCCCAGCTGGCTAGCAATGGCGGGAGGGATATGTGGCTGGCTACTTTGCTAGCTGGCAACGGACTGATTTTTATGACATCCACTGGGATATTACTTTTCACATGAAAGCAATGTTTGTTTTTTTCTCATTCCGGGAGCACCCGATTACATCTTTATTTTTTAAGTTTTATTTGACTGAGATTAGTGGCAACGTTAGCTAGTATGTCACAATCAAATTGGCTGGTAAGCGGGAGCTGGCACACTTGACTGTTTTTTAAATGTATTTTTACACGGCAACAAGATGAATGCTTAACTCCAGGAGCACCCAGGGATATCTTTATTACGTCTATACTTGGCTGAGAAGATTTCAGAAAACAGAAACATTGGGCTGACTTGCTAACATGGCTAGCTACGCACAAC